CCCTCTGCTCTTCGAACAGAAGGGTATATCCCCTAAGCGTTGGTGTATGTGACAGGCAGAAGATGTTGTCCTCCGTGTCAATATTTCCCATTATTAATAGCGGGACAGGGCAGGGCATTTAATAGTCGGAGTACTCGACCAGTGCACTCAGTCTTGCTCGTTTTTTTTTTACTGTTGCTTTTGGCATCGTCTTCTGCTCGTCTTACAAACCCACGACGTACCTACGATGTACGATGTTGCACGTACCCATCCCCGCTCACTCACCCCACCTCACCTCCCCTAACCGATTCCACTAAATTGCAGGTCTGCGGTGTATAGCGATCGTTTTCGTACTTGTCGCCTCAGTCGGTACAATCAAAAGGACGGCATGCGCATTATATACGATGCTGATTATGATTACTACGAGAATCTAATGTGTAAGTGGCTGCGAGGAGGTGCTAATGGACTGACTGGTAATCTCTGGCTCTCCCCCCTCTGTCCATCTTCCAGTGAATGTGGTGGGCGGCGGCGGCGCCGATGGCGATGCTGGCCACGGTGGCAGCGGCGGTGATGGCAAGCGACCTGCAGATCAGTCGGGCAGCAACTGGAGACAGCCTAATAAGCACGACGATCGCTATGGGTCAGGTGGTTCAACTGCCGGTGGAGGCGGATCGCATGGCGTAGCGGTGACTGGGACAGGCGGTGGTTCCCGTCTGCCTGCGAACGAGGGCATTGACTACGGGCGCCCATACGATCGCTATCCAGACTTTGCGGCCAATGAATATGGTACCTTTATATCCTCCCAGCTCTACTTTTCTATCCAGATGATTTACTATTGCTCGTCCCCTAGCAGATCGATATCCGTATGGAGGTGGAGGTGGAGGTGCAGGCGGCGGTGCTGGTGCTGGCGTTGGAGCTGGTGGGGATCGCGATCGAGATCGTTATCCACCTGATCGCTACGGCCAGGGGGCAGGCGGAGGTTCCCGCTATCCCAGCGGAGGCGGAGGCGGAGGTGATGGCATGGGATATGGCCGTCCCTACGATCGCTATCCCGATGATTATGGTAAGTGAGCTCCCCCGTACACCAGAAGGCACCCTAAAACCGAATTAATGACACCCAAGACAATGAATTGAGATCACCTCGCCACACTGACAACTAATTAACTAAACTAACCCCCACCCCCACGTCAGATCGGTACCCGGCGGGTGTCAGTGGTGATCGTGATCGTGATCGCGATAGGGACCGCGACCGAGAGCGCTATCCCGGCGACCGAGAACGCGACCGAGAGCGCTATCCAGGCGATCGGGAGCGTGATCGTGATCGCTTCGCTGATCGTTATCCGCCCCCGGATCGCTATGCGGATAGGTACGGAGACCGGCGCTATCCGGACAGGGACAGAGAGAGGGAGCGCGATAGATTGCCCTTCCGTCCGTTGCCGTATCCGGGCATCAATGACAACACTCTGCCCAGCGATCTGCCACACACAAGGCCCTATCCTACGGACGAAGATGCGCCCTTTAGGCCCTACGGCTATGGCGGCAGTCGCTACGGAGACAACAGATACGACAGTCGCTATCCGCCACGCTATCCGCCGCCAGGCAGGGAGCGAGATCCCATCGGGGGCTACACTGGACGCGATGCCCCAGACAGCATATTTCCGGACAGACGGTACCGGCCGTCCTCCATGGACCCGGCCAGGTATCCATACGCGCCGGACTCGAGAGGACCACCGGGCCGATACGACGATATTGTGCACAGTGCCAGGCGGCCGGAGCCGGAGTCGGCTAAGCGCTATCCACCGGCTCCCATTGCACCCACGGGCAGTGCCAGCAAATACGCGTCGACTCCGAACCGATTCCCGGTAGGTAACGATCGCTATCCCATGGACATCTACAAGTACGGCAATCGGCTGGGACCCAGCGATCTAGGCAGACGTCCGGGTAAGTACACGGGACTAACCAACTACCAACCCAACCCCTATCACCATTAACCCCTGTGGAAAGGCAGCACTGCCCCGCGGAGATCAGCACTGACACAGACTCTCTCATTTAGGACTGGATCGCCCGCCTCCCTTCTACGACTACGACTATGAGGAACGCTACGGCGACAGGTACGGGCCCTACGATCGGGAGTACGATGGACCACCGGGTCGCCGACCCCCCGTGAGTGGTCCCTACGGACGCTATGACACTCCCTTTAACCGTCCCTATGGAGGTGGGGGCGGCAACGGCCTCGATGATCGTCCCATTCCGCTGCCCGGCATCGGTCTGTCCCACCCACCCACAGCTTACGGGGCCAATGCTGGTCATGTGGGTGTGGGCGTGGGCGTGGGCGTGGGCGGGGGCCTTGGCTCGGGCCCGCCACGACCGCCGATCACCCGCTGCGAGGAGAGCGACAATTTTAAGCAGATAGCCGCCAGGCACAAGATGCGCCGCCACTATGTCCGTCGCACACTGGTCGTGCCCAGCCTGATCCAGTGCGAGCGCGAGTGCATCGAGAGTCGCGACTTTGTGTGCCGCAGCTTCAACTACAGGTATGTGTGTGTGTGTTGGCTTAGGCTGTGGAGGTGTGGAGGCTGAGATGTGGCGAGAGATACATGGGAGATGCTTGTTACAAGAGCGACTACAAATAAGCAAACGCGAATTCAATTTGCAGAGACACAGCCGCCTCCAGCTATGAGGATCGCGATCGCGATCGCGATAGGGAGTCCTCCAATTGCGAGCTGAGCGACAGAGACTCGCGGGAGCTGGACATCCACGATCCGGGCACCTTCGACGCCTCCAACTATGATTTCTATGAGCGCAGCATCGGACGCAGCGATGGCGAGTGCATGGATGGTACGAGAATAATATTTAATTGAATGCATAGCCCACAACTGATGAGTGAATGACCCTACTCCACCCCATTCCTACTCCACCCCACCCCACCCACAGTGACGCAGACTTGCAACGAGGAGGGCATGGAGTTCACTATCCGTACGCCAGAGGGCTTTTTGGGGCGCATCTACACCTACGGCTTCTACGATCGCTGCTTCTTCCGTGGCAACGGGGGCACCGTCAACGTCCTGAGGATCAGTGGTCCCCAAGGCTATCCCGACTGTGGCACCCAGCGCGTGAGTCACACACACGGGCCAGAGATCCAGCATCAGGTATTTAATCACTGGTCTTGTCTTCTAGTACGGCGACACTCTCACCAACATCGTGGTGGTCCAGTTCTCGGACAACGTTCAAACGAGCCGCGACAAGCGCTACAATCTGACCTGCATCTTCAGAGGGCCCGGTGAGGCCGTTGTCAGCTCCGGCTACATCGGAGCAGGGTAAGCTATCAACTTCCCAGTCTTCTCTTTTGTGCAAACCCCTCTACCCACCTCTACCCCTCTACCCACCTCTACCCCTCTTTGCTACCTTTGCAGATCCGGCAGTCCTATTCCCATAGAGTACCTACCAGCCGAGAATACGCTTAGCTCCAAGGTGCGCCTCAGCATCCTGTACCAGGGCAGACCGACCACCACCATAGCCGTGGGGGATCCCCTGACATTCAGGCTGGAGGCCCAGGACGGATACAATCATATCACGGACATTTTCGCCACCAATGTGGTGGCTAGGGACCCGTACTCGGGTCGCAGCATACAGCTCATAGACCGCTTTGGGTAAGTCTGTTCGTCATTATGCCCAATCTCTGCCCGCTAACCTTTGGACACGCAGCTGCCCGGTGGATCCCTTCGTCTTTCCGGAGCTGGACAAACTGCGCGATGGCGACACCCTGGAGGCACGTTTCAATGCGTTCAAGATACCCGAATCGAACTTCTTGGTCTTCGAGGCCACGGTCCGATCGTGTCGCGAGGGCTGCCAGCCGGCGTACTGCCCAGGGCCGGCGGGTCGACAGGAGCCCTCGTTTGGGCGCCGCAGACGCTCCTTGAACACCACCGACATGGCCGAACTGGAACCTCTACCCGCGGACGAGGACGAGGACGGATCCGGAGCTCAGGCTCTGGCTCTGGAAGGAATCAAGCCGTTGGATGTCGCCAGCTCGGAGGACGTGATCATTGTGAACAGCACCACGGTAAGCGCCACTCTGGGGCAGAGCCAACTGAATGAGACGCAGACGGGAGAGAAGTCCAAGGAGAACGAGGAACCGGAGCAAGTGCGGGAAATGATTGAAGTGAGCATGGGGAGAGGGGAGAGGGGAGACTGAGTGTCGGTGGCTGATTGATCCCTTCTAGGTGTTTGAGACGCGCGAGGAGATCGAGAAAGAGTCCTATCCCCGCAAGCTTGTGGCCCCCGTGGAGACGGTGTGCATGACCCCGGCAGAGTACCATGGCCTGATCACGGCCATCATTCTGCTGATGATCCTTCTGTTCAGCATCACGCTGGTTGCCGGCCTGGGCTACAGGTGAGATCAGTGGGAATGTCAATGTCATTTCTCGGGACTCAACTACGATCTTCCCCCCTCAGACGCTACTGGAAGTCCATCTCGAAGAACCGCCTGGTGGACCGCCACTCGCCGATCCACTCGCTGGGCCACTCCCACTCTTCCATACGCACACACGAGCGCTTCACAGAGATCGGACACATGCCCAACATGAATGGGGGAGGTGGTGGAGCAGGGGGCGGGGTCGGAGCCAATCAGAGCGCATCGAATCGGGCCTCGAACGCCTTTCGCACCAACATGTCCATGTTCGGCGGCTCATTACACAAGACTTTTGCCACGGGGTGAGGATCACTATCTGGCGGTCTGTCAGCCAGCCGAACCGGTCCACTTATGGGGTGTTTAATGTCTTTACAGCAACTTGGCGCGCATGTGCCAGCTGCCAGTTATAAATCCGATGCGTTCGGCGGGACAGAGCAGTCACCAGTTCGAGGATCCCAGCGAGCCGATCTACACCGATCCCTCGCTCTTCGAACGCTCCAGGCAAGTGGGCATCCAGGCCAATCCCATCCCTAGGAAACCCGAACCAAACCCAGCCTCATCATCATCATCATCCAGCCATACAGCCATACGCAATTGTAAATATTTTCAAGATCCCGGCATCATTTATTTCGATGTGGCACAATCACAAGGGATGGCAAGTGCAGAGTCCAGCCGGATTGCAAATGCCATCCCGTCCGCCTGCTATCTGGCACCTGGTGGAGCACCAGTCGCCCTGCAGGTGGCACACGTTCGGGATCGTTGGCAAATCGCCTAAAACTAAACACAACAATAAATTAACTCTCATTCAGTTCCGTTCCGTTCAGTTCCGAAAGGAGCGACTTACAGTTTTGGGCACTGGCTAACCAGACTAACAATAGAACGAGAAAGAGCCGCAAGTACTTCATGCTGACGTGCGCTTATATAGACGGACAAGTCGAGACTAAAGTCAAGCTGAGGTCTGGGCGGCGATAAGCCCTATCAGGGCAACGAATCTTGTGCAACGGATCTTGTGCGCAACTCTCACTCTTTCACGAATACTAAATACTAAATTGCTTTAAATTATTTTAAATTGCTGATTAAAGTTGCCATTTCATTTCATTTCCATTTCCATTCTATGCCTATCCCACAGATCGCTGCGAAGTCTGACCATGGTGGCCGAGTCCGAAGACAATCAGGAGGTCTAAAAGTGCACAAGAATATCTGAGATGTCTGATCGTCCTCTTGTGATTAGTTGTAAATAAGCTAACAGTTTTAAAACTCCACTTAATCCAACAACCAGAAATACGATCACTCAATATTTATACGCTAGCTAAATGCGTCGGCGACCCTCGCATATGCCTGGGTCCAACAACTAGCCTAAGAACTGCACAACAGCCCCACGCTATGCTCCCAAATCTACATATACGTAATATCAAACATTCTTCTTATGAACGTATGCTATTAAACATAGTTTATCTAAGGCTAACCAACGCAAAACAACACAAATAAACAATTATTCTCTATACCAGCTAAGATACATTAAATGCAATAAAACCCAAAGCTATCCATATACGAGTACAATATTATCGCGACTTTACTCCGCCAACGGAATGCAGCAGCAGCAATTAATCAGGGCCCAAACGGGGGCTGGATGTCCCGCCAGTGGCAACAGTAGGCAGCTTTGCAACTTCTCGCTTTGGGTTAACGAGCGGGGCCAAGCTGCAGTTGCGGACAGTAGCCAATGGGCCACTGCTTGAAGATATGATCTCTGGCCGGCTCAGCATGATGTTTTCCAGCAATCAGTAGAGCAGAAGGGGAATCAGGAGCGGTCAAAGGCCGGCAAATAAATCAAACAGCAGGACAGATGCCAGAACGCGAACCACGCAGACAGAGAGGGAGCATCACGAAGTGGACAATCAATGCAAATGCAGATCTAAAAAGTACATTCAAGAACTACCATCACTTCTTACAATTCAAGTTTGTAATATGCATATTTCGTACACAGTTTAATAAACATTTCAGAATAAATTAAAAGCTTCCTTTTTTATACTTAGATATAAGAACATAAATTAATGCAGATACGGGTTCGATCCCATTTAGTACCAATGGAAAGGGCCTGGAGCTGGTCATGACTAGTACAGATGGAAAGTGTTCGACTGGACAGCTTTGCAAATGCCTTCTTGGTGGGATGCAGACCAGCTCGAACCAATATTTTGGACCCTTGAAGTGAATGCGAACCCCAACACTCTTACCTGATAATATAAATTATAGATTGGACTATTTACAAAGATATCGGCGGCTAGTCTGACTAATCATCGAAGAATAGTATCTCCAGGATTCTCTTCTGCGCGCTCTTCTTGCGCTCCTTGTTCATCTTCAGCAGCTCGGTGGTGACCAGCTCGCCTAGAAGGTGCTCTGACAGTCGCTGCACGCCTGGAAGATTTTGTGGGGACTGAAACTTGCCGAAGTTCGAGGGATGTGAGGAGTTGCCCTGATGCGGCAACTGCTGATAAAGCTGCAACAGGAAGTCCGTATTCGATGGAAACATGTTCTGGTGTTGCTGATGCTGCTGCTGCTGTTGGTTATTGTTGCTGTTGTGTCCAGCGTTGGCATTATTCGGATTCCCATTGCTATTTGCATTGCCACTGCCATTGCCACTGCCATTGCCATGCCCATTGGTGCGCTGCATGCCCATTGAGTTACTGTAGTGGTTGCCGTGCTGCATTATGACCTGGGGCTCCATAAGGTCATGACTATTGTCATCGGAATCCTCATCGGAGTCGTTGATAAAGTGGGGGCCATTTCCTCCATTGCTAGACATTGGGTTATGCGCATTGCCATTGAGCTGCACGCGGGGCTTTTTTAAGTGGAAGTTGCTGGATGTTGACGAGTCCAAATCGTCATTTCCCTTGGGATTGTAGACATGGCCCTGCATCTGAATGTTGGAGCTGGTGCTCGTGGAGCTACCTGCAGCGCTAGAGGAGGAATGTACTACCGGAAGCTGCTGTGCAGAGGCCGGCGACTGTTGCTGTGATTGCTGGTGTTGCTGCTGAGTGCCAGTGCCAATACCCTGCAACGGCGAGGACAGCGGCGATTTCATCGAAGATGACGTTGAGGGGAGACTGCCGCCACCGTTTTGGGGTCCAGTTACGCCAACTGAACTGTCTCGATACTGCTCCTGGTAACCTTGCGAGGAGTCGGCCATGACAGCAGCCACGGCAGCCGCCTGCTGTTGCATCTGCGACTGGGATATTTGCTGGAGTTGCTGGGAGGCCACAGCCGCAGCGAACTCTCTAAATGCCTGATCAGCCTCGATCTTCACCGGATTAACACTTTCCAGTGCTGAGGAGGCAACGGTGCTCAGTGCATTCATGGCGTGCTGCTGATCTGGCTGATGGTAGTGATGGTTTTGACCCGAACCGTTGAACTGGGACATGTTCTTGGTGGACCCGTTTGATTTATCCACCATGTATTCGTTGTAACTCGAGCTGTTGGCCGACTGGGGCGACGTGAGGAAGCTCGGGACGTTGCGATAGGATTTTCGTGGCTGAATGTGTTGGTCTAGGAACTTCATTTTCTCGAGATAGGGTCGAGACAGGTGCTCGTAGATTGGAGTATCGCCCTGCTTCCGCTGCGAGACGTAGCGTTCCCGCAGATACTTCCAGCGCTTCTTGCACGTGTCCACTGCAAGGGACAAGATTTGTATTTACCAATATATATCAAAGTCTGTATTAAGTCGAGTCTCCCTCTCACCATCCGTTCGCAGCTTCATGGCAATCAGTTGCCAGGCATCGTCCTTAGTCTCATACTTTCCACCGTTGGCGCTGCCGTTTAGGTAGTACTTCTGCCTGTTGTATATGACCCCATGGTGGGCCACTTCATCAATTAATTGTTCGTCCATCATTTTTTCGCAGCTTTATTATTTTATTTGCGATTCTTCGCTTTCCGTGTGCGTCAGGCCATTTCCAGAACTGTACCCGAGCGTTTTGCAACACTGAGCAGTGCTGGCAGAATTACATGCTAGTTTCGAACAAATATATGACAAAATGCGAGAGCAAATAAGCTAAAAATTATATCCCATAGTTATATTTAAATAAGCGGTAAATTAGGACCATCGTCAAATTCAACATCCTATCCTCTCCTACCTTTGATCATGGTATTTTATTTATTTTTTTTCAACACATACTCCAGCAAATATGCTAGATTTAGCCTAAATAAGCTAAAATGGCAGCACTGCCCAGCAGAACTGAGTCTGCTATCGATAGTCCGTGTCCAGTATTTGAAAACGTTAGGAACTTGAAGTTAAATTTTGGTCAAGGGGGGTCGAGAAGCTGTCGTTAACCGGAGAGATTTCTAATAATATTGTGAATAAAAATGTTTAAACTAGCTCGTCGGCTTCTTCCCCAGCAGCGGATATTCTCAACTCCGCTGCGTCTTCAACGTCTTATCTCCACCAGCGACGAAGTCAACTCGGAGCCTATTATCAAATCTATGGAAACGATTGGCGGCCTGTCCACGGAACTTGTCAACGAGCAGAAGTTGAAAAAGACCAGCAGGTAATCTACCGGTTTCTGCACTTGAACTTTGTCTGTATTTGTTTACATTGCCTTTGGGGGTCATTCGTGCACTTGCTGTGCCCGTGAAGTTGTTGAGGGCGGGCGTGGCATGGCGTTTGAGGGGGGAAAGTTGTTCGTGCAAGTACCAACAGAGTCACGTAGGCCAGAGATCCACTAATGTATTCACCCTTGTGTGTATGTGTATGTGTATGTATTGCATTCTATTGTTTGAGTTTTGTTTTCTCCCCAGAACATTATCAACGCTTCAAAATCACTCCGTTCCAATTGCGGCTCGCGTCACAGTGTCAAAAGATGAAAGTCGCGACTTTATGGCTGTGTTTCCTGGTGAGCTCCGCTCCGCCTTTGTTTCCACCACTTAGCATAACAGTACTAATGTTTATTCTAATTCGTTCGCAGATCTTGTACGTGACATCACTACCGTGACGAAGACCCATAATTGCAATGATGCCGCTAAGTGGTTTGCCCAGGTGCTGCAATACAATGTACCGCGGGGCAAAAAGAATCGCGGCATACTCACAGTGCTCACCTACAAGAATCTGGTGGCAGCCGAAGATTTGACCCCAGAGAATATAAAGCTAGCCCAGTACCTGGGATGGTGTGTGGAAATGGTTAGTTTTGATCGTGTGTTCTTGAAAATACCCAACCTAATCTGATTCGCATTATCCCTGCAGCTCCAGAGCTTCTTCATAATCTCTGACGACGTGATGGACAACAGCACAACACGACGCGGCCAGCCGTGCTGGCACAAGGTTGAGAACGTTGGCTTGACAGCCATCAATGACGCTCTAATGATTGAGAATGCCATGTATGCCATTTTGAAGATGCATTTCAGCCACCTGGACTGCTATGTGGCGCTCATGGAGCTCTTCCATGAGATTACCTACATAACAACTTGTGGCCAGTCATTAGATCAGCTCAACTCCAATCGAAGTGTTTCCGAGTTCACTATGGACAATTACAAATCAATTGTGGACAACAAAACTGCCTACTATTCATTCTATCTGCCCTTTGCTGTTGCCTTACACTTGGCTGGGTGCGTAGTGATATTGCAGTTGTCCAGCTTTACTGAATACTAACTCCTTCCTTCTTGTAGATATAAGGACGCCGAAGCCTTCCGCCAATCAAAGACCATCCTCTTGGAAATGGGTCACTTTTTCCAAGTTCAAGACGATTTTCTTGACTGCTTCGGGAACCCGGAGGTGACTGGCAAAATTGGCACCGACATACAGGACAACAAATGCTCCTGGCTAGCCGTGGTGGCCATGCAGCGAGCTAATGCCGAGCAAAAGAAAATCATGATCGATTGCTATGGAAACGAGGGTGAGACGATCGGAACTGCTTAGCCAGTGAAATTGGTTGGTAACAATTTTAACTTTCCAATGCAGATCCAGTCAAGGTGGAGCGGGTTAAGGAACTTTACAAGGAACTCGGCTTGCCCACTACTTTTGCCACATTCGAAGAGGAGTCGTACAACATGATTAAAACACACATACAACAAACATCGCGCGGTGTTCCCCACCAAACTTTCCTGCAAATCCTCAACAAAATCTACCAGCGAGACTCCTAAACTATTCAGATCTATCAAATTTTGAGACGAGAACGTTTTTACTTAAATTATAGCTTTAGAATTTATACAAGGGATGCGTCTGAATTGTTTAAGCAATTATAACCGAAATTATAACTTTATCATACCTACATTTATTTTAATAGACACACTTAGACTGTGAAGTCAAATGGGGCAAATCCCTTGCGGAATTCCGATACATAAGTCGTCTCTTCGTCTTTCTCGAGAAGGCATTCCTTCCAGTTGACTTTTTCGTCACAATTAAGAAGATTCTCCGAACAGAAAACGTCCCTGCAAAATACATTAATCAAACAACAATTGCAATAGAAGCTAATCTGTAACGCACCTAGCGAAATGCAGGGGGAAATGATTCATCTGCCGCGTAATTAGCGTGCTGTCATCAGGGAGCTCGGTCAGAAAATAAGGTCCAATTTCTGGCAACATTTTCGGAGAATCTAATGCCGGTAGCGTTTCAAATTGAAGATTGAATTCCTCCGCTTTGTCCTTAATGATTAAAGTGACTAATTATAATGATTCATAGATGAATTTGAAGAGATTTTCATACCTCAAAGCTATGCTTTATCTTCCATGCATAACCTTCCTCGATGCCGAGAACGTTGATCTGTAGGTGGAATGACTTGTAATGGCGTTCCGTGAAGCACACCACTTGACCGATGGTTTTGAAGAACTTTCGCAAGGCGTTTTTAAATTTATCCAGCTCCTCCCAATCCTCAGTGCTCAGTTGGGCTGCGCAGGGCAGATGCTTTGTGGACAAAATCATGACATGGTGTCTGTTAATTGGACCCTTGGCTAGGGCCAGATAGAAACGTTCTCCGACAGTAATAATTAGATGCTTTTCCACATCGGGTGATGATAAACAGAACCAGCATTTCTCTGAAATTGTATAACATATGAGTTGCGACAATACGAGAGCTACTGTCTGTTGGCGTACCCTGGTCCAATTCTTGAATTCGTCGTTTCTTCCCGTAGCCACGCTGTCCTTTTGATTTCTTGGTGCTCATATCGTAAAAATACTGGCGGTTTTCGGACTAAAAAGTTTAGGTTAGGTTTAGGTACCATTGGTAAACACAATAAGAGGAATACTCACTGTGTCATTCTTGTCGACGGTTCCGCCCAAATCAAGCCCAGCATATGGGCACGGAATTTCATTGGTTGTCTTCTGCACCAGATCAAGCAATCGAGACTTATCGACAGGTTTTAGGGTGAGCGCGTAGATATATTTTGCCTTTTCACTGTTTCCCACATCAGCCAGAGAGATAAATCGGGTACAGAGCTCAAACTGTGTTGTCTCGTCCTTTGGCATACGAAAGGGCGGGCACTCAAAGAAGGTGCCGTTGATGGCACAAAAATGATAGCGAGGCTTGACCTCCCGACAGAGGAACGATATTAACTTGGATGCTGTTGCCTGGAATAGATAATTGATTGTTAGCGCAAACAGATCCACAGACTGGACTGGCTAATGTGCACCTACATTTTCATTCTCCTGCATCCCGTATGGCCATTGCGATGTGAGAAGTACGTCCACTCCTCTGTACTCGGTGGAGCAGTTCTTTGACACCAAACACGAATTTCTGACAGCAAATACATCCGATTTAGTGAACTCGTGGTTAGATTTAGCTGAATCTGCAGCACCAGCTGACTCCACGCCACTTAAATAGGCTATTTTGACGCCACTGGTGAGCGTGTACACGCCTCGTTTGCCGAGGTATGTGAGGTTTGTGCAAATTTCACCATCCGCCAGCTCCTCGAAATGCTTTCCATGCTCCTTCTGGTTCGGGCCAAGTATGTAGGTGGGCACTGTGACTGAAGATTGAGCATGTTAGTATATAAATGGACCATACGCTGTAGTACTTACTGTGCTTGCATCCATTCTTGTAGGCAATCAGCTCCTCGTTCTGTTTGTCATCGCCAAAAAAGTCTCCGACGCAGCAGAGAATCTCAAAGGGTCCCGCTTTTTTGTTGACCTGTTCCACTCGCTGAAATAACTGCTTGAAACGTCCGCGCACATCGCCCACAACTAGTCTATGAGTGAGAAAACATTGCATTAACTAATTTAACTGGTAAAATTCATTATTATATTTAATTTTTACATTTTGGTGCCCGCGTCCATTGGTTCCGATTGGTGGTTCAGTTCAATTTAGTGGTTCGCACCGGCTGTTCGCAAAAGAGTTTGCACCATTTGAGCGAACTATTGACTAAATATAAAATAACCAATTTGCAAATACGCACAAATGCTTGTAAATACATTTCCATTATGAAATAATATTAGTAAATGGCTATTTAAATTTATATAACTATGCTGAACCATAATTATCGCAGTCAGGGCTGGACTTGGACACGTTGGGGATTTCACATCAGAAGTTTTGGCAATTGCTGTTTAATTGCCCGATCAGTATTCTATATTCAACTAAACTTTAACCTTAGTGCAGTGTCAATGGCCCAAAATATGGAATTATATGTGACATTGGCCCCAAACAGCATTCGATTGCAACAATGAACCTTTGCTAGGTTTTCTGGTCATGCGTGGCTGGCACAATTAAGTGGATTGGATTGGTCTCTGCGTTCCATTAGAGGATGCCAAGCTGCGTGGGACATATAAAATAGACTGTGTGTCTCCAATCCAATCATTCGGTTAACCACAGCAATGTCGCCAAGTCTGATTTTGTTAGTTTCTGTTGTGCTCGGTTTGGCGTTGAGCCCTCAAAGTGCGCTGGGCCAGACAATCGACTGTCAGAGACCACCTCAACTTGTGGTAAGTTTAGTGATTGAAACGATTCATACGAGGCATTATTGAAGTCTCCCATGTTCATAGGATCCATCACTCTGCTGCAGGGACGGCGGTCGCGACCAGATCGCAGAGAAATGCGCCCAGCGGATTATAGGAGAGGGAAAAGGCTTGCCATCGCTGGAAACTGCCACAGTGAGTACCCATAGCCCTACTATACAAAAGCACAGATTAAACATTAAACTTCCAATCTAGTGTCTGGCTGAGTGCATCCTCAACACGTCACAGTACATTCAAGATCCACAGAAGCTGCACTTGGAGAACATCCGCAGTAGTCTTTCCGAAAAGTTTTCCAATGACACCGCTTATGTGGACGCGATGGCAGCAGCTTTTACCAAATGTGAGCCCCAATCACAACGGCGTCTTGCAGCCATCCAGCAATCGCAGCAACAACACAAATGCAGTCCCTTCTCGGCGATTGTTCTCGGTTGCACATACATGGAGTACTTTAAGAACTGCCCCGTAAATCGATGGACGCAGAATGCGGAATGTGCCTTGGCTAAGACATATGTTACTCAATGTGGATTGGGGGCTTAGACTTTTGTTTGTTCAAAAAATATATAATTTTAAATAGAAAACGGCTTTGGGACTGTCCACCTACTCATCGATATCGATAGCCCAAACTGTTCTTGAAGCCCTGGTTCGTGCTTATTGCTCAAAGAACCGAATTGACCATTTTTGGTTGAACCTTCTTATATAAGCAAACCAACAAAAAAGAATCTGAAAACTAGCCAATCTTTTGAAAAAATTCATTTATAAAATGGATAAAATTATATGCTTAGTGCTAAGAGTCACAGCTAGCTTGTAATACTAAATCGTATATCAAAAATGGAGGAATATGATTTTCCTCGGTATATTTACGGCATATTTTAAAAATGACGTTTCTGAGGTTCCAGTCACACTCGACAAAACAAATCAAGTGAACTATTTATTTTTCCATATATATACATTTGAAAATGACCGCCAAACTCATTTAGCGCACAAAAAATACTGACATTTTTCGCTCTAAATTCGTGGTGGTTTTTCAAAATTTTCTCTCTTTTCAGAGGTGAAGAGAGCGTTTTCGTGGTGACTTTTCGTGGTGTGAAAAGCATGTATCTTACGGGAACGTTCCCGTAAGATACATTTGATTTGTATGGGGAAAAATTCAGCAACATGTGGAAATGAGCAACAATCTGCATACCTTGGGAAAATGGATATTATGGACTTGAGATATTGTTTGTAATTTCAGGCTCCAATTAATGCAGAAACTACTCAGTCTCTGTTTTGAAAGATATTAACGAAATTTTGCAGCTCACGACTACCAATAATAGGTATCAGAACCGGGATATATGTATTTATAACACACAAACATGTGCATTAATATGTAAAAAACATGTCAGTCTAGGATAAAATCATAAATAATGTTTCAATGGAGCTTGGAACAAAACATTTAACATCAATTAAAAGAAATAAGGTATACAAAAGTACATACGCATAGAAGATACTTGGTTGACCAGCAACACTGACGTAACATTTAGTCAACATTTAAGTTTTATGCTTTGGCCGTTTTTGTTTGAACCTTAATATGTAAACAATCCAATAAAAAAGAGTTCTAAAAACTAACCAATCCTGAAAAAAATTTATGTATCTATCGGATAAAATTATTTGTTTAGGGCTGAGAGTCCTAGCTAGCTGGTAATATTAAACGGAATATCAATATCGAGGAATATCAACGTCGAATGTTTTGAAAAAACAATCGATACTATCGTGATAGTATCGGGCTGAAATAATTATTTAACAACCATTGAAACCTTTTAGGAACTTGTCTATTGTAAAAATTAGATGCCACCTGTCGATTTGTTTACAAATTTGTCTTCGTATTTTATAGCAGCCAATCCAAACATATCAAAAGCGCAACGACTGTAGCTCAATACTATCATGATAGTCTCAAAACCATTGATAGTAGCGGCTAGCAGCAAAACATCGATACTATCGATAGTGCCCTCGATGGTTTGACACCTCTATTGGGCGCGCGTTTACAGAAATTTTCTTAATTACAGCTAATAATTCCTTTTAAAATGGCACAGTCTGATAAAATTGAGGCTTTTAAAGCGTGGGCCACAAGTCTCGGCTGCCCGCCCAGTGTCATACCAGCCGATGAAGATCTTAGAAAGTAAGTTCGAAGCCAGAGGCGCTGGGACACTAATGATTGTTGAATATCCGATCGCAGCATCTTCAAGTCGGGCTCCCACCATCTTTTTGATCAACTGCAGAGACGTATTCGACCGCGTGAAGAGGTGGCGGAGCTAAGGGCCAATCTGCTCATCGCCGAGGTGGAGCGTCATAAGAGCCTTGCCCTTATGCCCCTAGCATCGCGCAGCCTTCTGCCACCTCAGCTTCAAAGGCTGCATCAAATGAAGGAGCTGACGAAGCAGAAGGAGACGGCAGAGCAAACTCTGAAGGAGTTCAGACAGGAGTATGAACAACTTTCCGCCAGCATTAAATCAAAGAGTGAGCAACCCGCAGAACACAAAATAGCTTCTTCCAATATCCTACCTTGTCCACAGACATACAAACTATCCGGGCCAAGAACAAGAGAGACCTTCTGGAGTCCAAATGCAATATGCTGGAGCTAAAACTAGAGTCTATGAAAAAGTCGTATGAGCAGGAGCTGAGGAACAAGGCCCAAATCTTGGCCACAACACCGGTCAAATTGAATTCAGAGAACGCCAGCGAGAAGAAAGCCTCCAGGGTGGTTGAGCAGGCGCTCAAGGAACTAGATAAATTCTATGGTGTCTGCAATGACGAGACCAACAATGCCCACCAATTGGCCCAGGCCAAGGAGCGGCTGTGGAACGAAATGCGCAGCATCTTTGCTAAAACGCCGAATGCATCACTTTTCAATGTAATAATGAAGATCAAGGAGGAGCAGTTGCAGCACATAACGCAACTAAGTACGGCTAATAAGGGAAACACCCCAAAAGCCAAGCCCCTGTTGACCAACTATGAAGCGAAACTACTGCAGACCAAGGCGGAAATGCTGGGACTGGCGGCCAACTACCTTTCTGCTGATAAGGAGCTGCTCAAGCTGGAAGCTCGCTTCTGCCAGGAGTATACTCCTTTTGTTGACGAACTGCAGAAGAAGGTGAACAGCTTCAATCCCAGTGCCGACGTGGACAGCACTGAGGAGCTAATCAGCGACTTTCTTGTGCAGTTTACCATGCGAACTTTCAATATGGCCCGCAACGAGTACCTCGGCGAGCAAATTGAGCAGTTGCGCCTAGAGTTGAAGGCAGGCAGCAAGCAGTTGGAAGATCACGACCTACTTCTGGGCTCCGTGAAGCAAGTATACAGCGATATAAGCACCTCCATCCATCGCATACAAGAGGACATGGGTCAGCTCTCGCAGATAAAAGAGAAGATCCTCTACTCGAGGAACATGATGAAGAACTTGCTCGATGACATGCATGCAGCCACCCAGAACCAGAAAGCCAAGTCTCAGCTGATGAGCACCAAGCTAAAGGTCAACAACATGTCGATGCTGGGCTCGGAGAGCTTCTACATGGCCAACGACAGTGTGTTCTCCAGCACCAAGCTTGAATTTGATTGCAACACCAGCATTGCGAACTTCACTCTGGTGCCTGGTGCAGCGGGCTCGGCAGCTGCTCTCTCATCTGGTCCCGTCAAATTTGTGCCCTGCCACCTGCTCGAACTGAACACGTTCGCCGAAATGCCGCTGGTTAAGTTAAGCTTCATACCCCGATCCTGGTAAGTGGATAGTCCGATAGTTAATACTACCCCCAACATAATATTCAATATTTTTGTATGCAACTCAAACTCCTCTTTGGTAGCGCCCATTTGCTGTCGGCCAATCCGCTCATCGTTGAAGCCCAGGAGCTGGCCTCCACCGTTCAACTGGTGCCGGGCCATCTGCTGACACCCTTCGGGGCATTGCAGGAAGTCCGTAAACGCATTTTGTGGGCGTCAGCAATTGCCGCACACACGTCTGACTTGAAATTGAGTTTGCAGCCGTTAATTGGTAAGCTCGCATTCTCGACCCTTCCGAGTAGACATTTTGTCTCATTTCCGTGTCTGACCCCATCCATCTCTCCCTCTACTCCCTCTACACAGTGGATCCGCACGATTTGAAGCTGAAGGCACGTCGCCAGCACGAGGAAATCGAACAAAAGCTGGACAGCCTAATGGCCATCGCCGTGAAGTCCAAAATTTATTTGCAGAAGGCTGACCGCATCTATCGCTTCATTCTCGATAATCCGCTGCAACGCTACGTGCCTCCCACAAAACTCTTCAGCAACGGCACCTTTTCCGACTACGAGTCGGAGTTTAATCTCTATTATCGCATGACCACCATGGGTGCTTCGATGAGGGGCAACTAACTAAGCAATAAATTGTGAAAAATGCAGGCAATTCTGGCCCATGGAAATGCCATAATATGTTTAAGTTATGTACTATCCCTTGAAGGGAAATATAATACAAAACGCTCGTTACTTTTATATATTTTTATTCATTTTTTTTTGTTTTGTTTTGGTTTTTATATTTTAGTACAAAGTCGAAATAGATTTTTTTGCTACACCCTCATTAAAAATAGGGCGTACAATTTGTCGGTGTTCAAAAGACTTTCGAAATGCGCTTAGGAGCTAATGATGTACACAACGATGTTGCCTTCATTCGGATATGAATTTAGCCGCGATACCAATGCAAATTTGTAGTTTTGTTTTGGGGTGTGGTGTGTCATGTTTTGCAGAACGAAAATACTTTAATATTTATTAAATAAACATAAAATACTCCCATAATTCTGAGATGTGTACTTGGAATGCTGTGATGTGTGTCGTCGTCGTCGTCATTGTCATTGTCTTTTGCTTAGAATAAAATACATATTTAAAACATATACAGAGCCAGATCAGAAAACAAAACGGACGAATGTGGCGGCTGGGTTCGGCTTTTAGGTTCTAAATAAACTATATCGACTGTTCTGATCTAGTTATCGTGGGCCCTTTCACTTAGCGTACTTAACTTAAGACATAATATTGGACGTTTGAAGATTGGACAGGGCGAAACGGAAAAGGAAAAGGAAACAGAAACAGAAACTACAAAACAAAGACAGGAACAGAGGGAAAGAGAATCGAAATGAAACATTTTCTGGAGTCTGGGTGGTGGGGAGGGGGAGGGGGATATTCATTTGCGACGTCTGTTGGTTGGATCTGTATATGATGTAGGTTACTATATAGCTATGTGTGTATAGTATATATTTATGTATTCGAGGGCTGATTGATGTTTTGGACTTGGAGCGTTTGTAGTCAGAGTCAGTGCGGGACCATTGGCTTATCTGGTGAAGAGCAGCGCCATCAAGATGCCCACCAGGGCAAAGGAGGAGGCAGCCACATCCTCGGCTCCGGCATAGGACGCCCGACCACAGGCCGGCGGGCACACCGGAATATTGGTCTCAAACAGATTCACACGGGCCTCGGCCTCGCCAAAGCGATTGGTGGCCTTGCACACATAATCTCCGTACTGGCGCTTCTCGATGGTGATCACACGCAGCGTCGAGTCGGTGACCTCGTCGGTGGTGGCAAAGTGCGAGATGCTGTAGTGCTGGTTGTTGGCCAACTGGATGTCATCCTTGGTCCAGACAATGGCCGGCGGTGGGTAGGCCTCAATGTGGCACTCCAGATCCATGTCATACTGCAGCATCTGGCCGAGACGGGGCCGCGGCGCGGTTATCACTGGCGAAAACTCCACCTCCACGTTAATGTTGCGGCGATCTCCCTTGCTGACACCGTTGTCGGCCACACAGTAGTAGGTGCCGCGGTCCTCCTTCTTCACCGACTTGATTCGCAGTATATTACCCACATAGGTGGCACTATCTGGAATGGACAAAAGACAAAAAAGAGATGCGATCATTAGTAAAGTGTAGGTATTATATATATTTATTTGTTTAAACATTTATTTATCTCTTTCAGTGCGCGCGTTCAAGTGAGAACAGGCCACGCGATTAGTGCATGTATTAATGAAGCGGCTCTAAGCGGATCGGGCCTCTGCCCTTTGTGTTTGTGCAGTCAAAAAAAATAGAGTCAAAAATGTAATTTTAATGAGCCAGCCCGGGCCACATCCGTTAGCACTTTGTGTGTTGTGTGGGTGACCTTTTCACTGTCGTCCACGCTCTCCCCACTCCCACCATTCGCTCCACTAACAATGGCAACGTTAATGACCTCTAACAAGTAAACCATTTTGTTGCTGGTGTGCCTCTGCCTCTGCCTCGGCTTTGGCTTCGACTTCTGCTCGTTTTGTGCTGCCAACTAATTTTGAAAAACTCAGAGCGCGCCTGCACTTAGTCATAAGTGCACCAAAGGATAGCACAAGAGGGGGCTGGTGGTGGTAGTGGTGGTGGTGCATTGCAACAAGCAACTGAAGCGTAAACGGGAATACGAATGGGGAATAGGAATTGCAGTGCGAAAGGTGCGCTCAGCCTCAGTGTTGGTTCGGCTCATAACCGGAAGTTGGCTCAGCGCAATGAGAGATGCAGAGAGATGGAGATGGATAGGGAGAGGGAGAGCAACGAGTGCAATGAGCCCAGGGATCTCTCAGTGCAGTCGCTCAGTCTCCACCCCACCCCTTTCAACCACACAGAGAGATGTACGAGTGCTCGTTGTACACACAGGGTATGGATGTACGAGTATATGTGTCTGTGGCTGCTCTTCAAACATTTGCCAAAACAATTCAGGCTCAAACAATTGACACAAACTACACGGAAGGAGGCAGCAGGAGAGAGTGAGAGAGAGCATTGACCAAAACTCTGGAATGCCCTGGAAATATGTTGCAAGCGAATTGCATGCCAAATGCGGGCCGAAGGGATTGAGCGGGAGGGAGGCATGCTCGTGCCTACTCGACTGAAACATTTCAAATTAATTGCGACTGGGAATCGAAGTAACACATTTCATTAAAATTGGATTGACAGCCTGTCCCCCCCTCCTGCATAGTAATCGACATGGCAATGGGTTAAGGCGGCCGGCCTCCTACCAATTGCAGCAAATTGAACAAACGATGCTCTTCTGCTGGCAGGGGGCATCATCGTGATGCGGGCATTGGAGGAAACAACGCAACGAAACTCATTTCAATATTAGAAAAGCACACACATGGCAAACACTACTCACTCAAGTCTCCGAATACTACAAATATCCATGGAAGACTCCAGAGAGTGACGCAGGCGAGGGCTTTGTTTAATTAGTCCAATGGAGAATGATTCACTACGGAGCAGCGTGAATAGAAAGCATTTGTCGCCCCAATTGGACACTAGCCAAAGCCCAGCACTTCAGCAATATACGAGTGGAGCGAATGCGAGAGGGAAATGGAGCTACTTCTTCACATTTCTGGGGGATCAGATCATTATATACAATAACCCTTGGGTGATGATCTAACTCCAGGTTTCTCTGGCAAAACCCTTGTGGAATACGAGTATATGTATATATAATCATCTTCAGATGAATAATTGATACAACTAATGGATACTTTTGGAATGGAATATTATATGGAATATCTCTACCCCCCCCCCCTATGTGTATACTTAATACTGATCTATTATGATCTTAATAATGCAAGCCACACAAATAATGCAAATCATATTTATGCACATCAAAGTACAAGCTGTAAAAATTAATTTTTCCCTTTGGAAAAAACCAATTAAATTTGTTGCGTTTGTATTTACGAGCGTTTACTGTGCCTGTGCCTGTGCCTGTGCCCGTGCCTGCCAGTGGGCTGTCATGTCATGTGTACTCGAATAGGCCCAAACAGGTTCTTTCTCTATCCCTCTATCCCAGTTTCTGTTTGTGTTGCCGTTTCTGCTTCTGCCTCGCAGCGAAACTTTAAGTGCAGCAGCGTGACTGGGCCTGGCCCCGATCTGGTCTTGGACTTGGTCTAGGTCTCAGCCTAAGCCTAAGCCCCAAACGCAGCTGCAATGGCACAAGCTCTGGCTCAGGGCTTGGAGTTCATCGGGGGAGGAACCACTCAAAATGACAAATGTCCAACCGTAGTAAAGTGTTGAGTTTGTTTTGCTCTTTTACTGTTTGCTTGTAGGTTTTTTGAATTTATTTTTTGTCTATTATTATATGGACAGAGCATTTGCTTTGATGGACGCCCGCGTGTCTGCTGGAGCACGAAATGATATGCAAGTCAGGTAAGGCAGTGGAGTGGAGGCAGAATTCAGAATTCCAGAATTCCAGAATTTCAGAGTTCTTTGTGTTACCCAAAAAATGTGTCGCCTGTAAACCGTTTTACCGTTAGCATGTAAACTATAGTTATTTCTCTCTATCCCTCCCCCCTCCTTCCATATGATTCCATATGCTTGGGCTTTAGTGTTGTGTGGAGAAGAGGTCGCGCATGCGCATAATTGGGGCGTGTCAGAGAGTGGCAAATATTTAATTGCTAATTAGTTATGCGACAGAAGAGAGATCGCACACAGAGAGAAGGAATGACAGAGAGAGAGAGAGAGAGTACACAGATGGCATTTTCTTGCAAGTTGAACAATTTCCGAGTCTGTTTGTAATTAAACCCGATATAAATGCTCTCCGAATTGACTCCAGATCTGGTTCATTGTCTGCGCCCCACTCTCCAGAGTTCAAATGGATCGCATAGAAGAGCAGACAGTCATTGAAGCAGAACACCCCTCAGGATTGGGCAATGTAGTGCGGGGAATTAGAGATATTTGGGACTGTATTTATGAATCAAAAAACATTGTAATGGCTTCAAATTACAAACCAGACTCATATATCACTAACAACCCAAACGAGAGACAGGCAAGGGTTGGTCTACGAAGATCTACCTATGCGGACTGTACCTCTGCCTCTGGCTGGTCTGTTCTGTTCTGCTGCCAAAAAGCAAACATTAAATATTGACAAATTATGAAGAAAATTTCAGTGCAATCAAACTAATGAGAGAGCCCCGAGCTGAGCGATGCTGCAAGCAGCCCGCATGTCATCAGGGCCCAATAAAAGCGAACCAAAACAGAACCGGAAACACACAGATCTATAGAACCTGCAGCACATACATACATACATATGCACATACATATGTGCATACATAGTATCATATCCACAATCAACCAACCATCATCCATCATATAGAATCTTGGGCATGTGTGGAGTAATTTCAGTTACTAATGAGAGAATTAAAAACACTTTGCTCGGCAGGATGATGCGGCTGCTTTGCTTCCAGGGGAGGAGTGCACTCTCTGACAACTAATGAAAGGAAAACAGAAACAGAAATGAAAAGAAAAGACAGAGACACCGCGGAGGAAGACACCGGAGTGTGCAGAGCCCAAAGAGTCGGCACAGAGTAATGAAAAATCAGACAGCCCAAGCAGGCTGGCAGGCAGGCAGGCAGGCAGAGGAGGCACCATTTGTTTTGGTCCGGACCTGGCCGGGAACAGAACCTGTCTGGGACTGTCTCCGCCTGCCATCAAACAAAATGAAAACAACGTTGGCAACACCCTTACCCCCATCCCATCCCATCCCAAGTCTATCCCCTCTCCCCTGGCAAACAGCCAGAGATAAATTGTCAGTTAAAGGCAAACGAAAACAAGGCCCAAGGAGAAGGAAAATTGTGCAAAGTGCAAAGGCAAAGGCAAAGGCAAAGGTGAGAAGTGATGTGGACGAAGTGCAAGCAGGTAGATATCTGGAGCTACAATGGTCTGGTCTGGTCTGGTCTGCTTCTGACAGGATCCCAGTTATAACCAGGAATGGGAACGCTACTGCTACTCTGCCCCATTGTGCCGCCACAGCGATGACTCTCGAAAAGCGAGCGCAAGAGGAAACGGAAAATGCATTGAAAACCTTGACAGGGTTCACCTGGTAGGGTCTGGTTGCCCCTCACTGTGGCAGGTGTATGTATGTGTAGGTAGGAGTTCTGTAGCTGTTCGCTTGTGTGTGTGTGTGTGTGTGTGTGTGTGGGTGCATTCTATGACCCAGGGTCTTTGGGTCTTTGGCGCTTGGATGACTTTCAGTGGCCGTCAACGGTTAAATGCGTCAGCGTTATGAGACGGGCGCGCTCGCTTGGAAAATTTGTGACAACTTGTGGAAAGGAAAGGAAAGGAAGGGGTTAACGTTACTCGATTACCGCCACCGTTTCTAATGGTCTTAAACTATTTAAAAGCCGGCTGACGGCTGCCGCCGTGCCCGCCATTTTGTGAGCAGGAAACCACCACCGAAACATCCTGGAAATGGAAATCGAATTTGGCATGCAAAAAAGTATGTGCACCAATCACAGGGCAGGGCCCAGACGCCCGTGAGGGAAAAATTCGACCAAAAAACACAGTAGCAACGGCAACGGAAACAACAGCTAGCTGGAAAAAACATTGATGCAAGCGCTTTCCCTTTCCCCGTTTCCCTTTCCCCTTTCGCCGAGAGAGCTGTGTCCGTTGAGGGGTGTGCGCCTGCTGTCTGGGCCCGCAGCCATATTTGATTTTCATTTTTCCTTTTCAATTTCCTGCAATTTGGCAAGGAAAGCGCACTAGACAGCACCTTCGACTGCAAACTTGAAATGTCAAAAGATTCGGAGCAAACAGTTCCCTGAACCGAACCCGTACCCGTACCCGAACCGAGCTGAGCGGAGCTGAGCCGAGAGCATCGTCATGTGGAAGTTATGAATGTTAATGCAACGCGAGCTGCGAGCTGCGAACGGCGAGTGACTCATCGTCATCATAATCCAGTGGCGAAACGGGTGCGCTTTTAATGACGCTTCGCATTATTCGCGCCCACTGCACACACTCACAAACTCCAGGCACGAACCCCAGCATATTTACACCCAAACCCATTCCAGTCCCAGTCCAATCCAATCCATCATGGCTCTAGGCGAGTCACAGATGGGTCATGTC